AAGAAGGTTGCAGTGACAGAAAACAGAGTGAAGGAACAAATCACCTTTGGGATCAGGACAGCTCTTCATACTAAATTTCCTTGTGTCAGAATCAGTCTGCTAATTTCAACAAAAATTACACTGACTATAACCATTCTACTTATGCTGGTGTAATAATTTTCAAACAGCTCAGGTAAATCAGGGGCCCATCACGCTCAAGATGAGGTACTGGGTGCTAAAGGGATGCCCGGGGTATTAGGATACTGTCCCTGAGGAATCTACACACTAGTTTTGGGACTTATCGTGACAATATCATGCCTTACACACTAGTTTTGGGACTTATCGTGACAATGTCATGCCTGTTATTATTATTTTTAAGTAGACTCCATGCTCAAAATGTGGCTTGAATTCACAACCCTGAGATCAACAGCTGCATGCTCTACCAACTGAACCAGCCAGGTACCCTTGCCTGCTATTTCTTAATGCTGCAGCTGACATTTAGAGGAGAAGAGGAAAGAGTTCAAAAAGGAAAATCAAAGTGCCACCTTCTTACAAACAGTTATAAAGGGCTATGCTATGTTTGTGGGTGAAGTTACTTGGTAGAATGTTTCATTAGCTTTCTTCAGCATTAAAAACAATAACAGAAAAGTGTTACTCAAATTTAATCCAACTCCTTTTTCATCTTTTAGGTACAGTAAAATATAAGCTTTTCTAGGATCATGAATAATCAGAAACATAGATGACTCTACCTGACAGAACCATTCTAAATATTGGCTGTATCACAAAAAAAAAGAAACAAAGAAACAAAGAAAAGCCCCTAAGCTGTCATCCCTAACAGATTGCTTTGTTGCTGTTCCTGCCAACTTCAGAGAGAAGAAATATTTCCATTCTGCTTCAATTCTCAACAGAAGTAAATAAGGAAGTAATGTGGCTGATTTCCATTCTTGTGGCTCAATATTAAGTTGGCTGAGGAAACTGCTGTTTGCAGAAATAGTTCTGGGATAACACAAAGTTGGGAAAAACACTGATGCCCAGATGGTATTGGTCTCAAGTATACTGGGATATTAGTGCTTTATTCTCCATAATTAGATATGTTCTAGATTGTATTTACAGCTTATCTACTCTTCTCTACTGGCACTGCTACACTTGAAAAATGAAGTTCCCCCACGCCAGGCACACAAATGGTCAAAGTGGCATTCTGAATTGGCAAGGGGGAAAAAAAGCAAATGAAAAGCAGATTGTTAGTACTCTTCCATCCGTTGCAAAGAGCAAACATAAAACTCTCCTGCTTATACTCAACCATTATTATAGAGGTCTGAACCATAAAAAGGTTAGTAATATTCCAACAGAAATCATAATTTTTAGAATCATTTTCTGAAAAGTTCCTAATTAAAATAGCCCTTATGCTGCCAGTAGTAACTTGGGACTATCACACACCTCATAACTGGTTTGGACACTCAGCTCAAACTTCAATGTATTTTCTGGCCCCCTGAAAAACACCTGTGACTTATATTCTTTTGCCATTAGCATTTGCTGAAATTACTGAATGCAAATGAGAAAGATATGGATGTAGGATGTAACAGGCCTAGATTTACGATCATCTTACCTACTTTTTTTTCTCTATAGTCTAAAAAATTAAGCTTGGTATAACTAAAACAGAACTTCTCATTCTCACCCTCACATCTACTTGTCCAATATATACATATCTTAGATCATGGCCACACAATATAATTCTTTGTTTTGCAAGATCAAAGTTACAAGATCATCATGGCTTCTTGGTTAGTAGCTTGGACTGAAGGGCCTGATCCCATACCTGGATGAAGCTGTGGGTTTGCGAGGCCTTAGTTTTCATATATACTGAATAAGATTATTAACAGTAATGACCTCATAGGATAGTTGTGAGCATTAGATGAACTAATGTGGGTATATTAAAAATACATGCTATTGTTAATATTATTCCACTTCCTAGATGTTTTCCCACCCTAGGTCACAGTCCTTTTACCTTACCCGGGCACCATACTATTCTTTTAATTTCTAAATGGGTCTCATTAACTCCAACTATACTCCAAACACTGCTCCTCTTAGAACTGGTCCTAAACATAAATTCAATAAAGTCATGGTGATTTAAAAATCCATTGATTTTCTACTGCTCAAGAGAGAAGCTTCAAATTTTGGTCAGATATCCATATTCAGGTGGTAGAACAGAAATAGCCAGATGAAGCCCAGTGGTACCTGCGTGCAGAGTAATTGCTTGCTGAAGGAATGAATGGGTCTAGAAATCTGGTCTTCAGTTACACCTCCGTCACCAATTAGCTATGCTCTTGCAGGGGCCTCTTTCCTCAGCTAGAGGCTAATTATCATTATCATTCCTTTCTTTGCTTAAATCCTAGTCTTCCCAGCTTCCTCCAGTCATGGCTCAAAGCCTTAACTACACTTGTTTCCCTCTCTAATCTCTCCAAATAACTTTATACTTTAAAGTTAGGTTCTAGTTGTCCCTTTTACTTGAAACTTCCTGCTCCTCCCCACTAGTATCTTCCTGTGGAAATTCCACCCTCTGTACTGTATCCAACTCAAATTTCACCTTATTCTAGAAGCCTGCTCAACCTTTACCCTCTTCATTTTGGATGAATTTCTTTTATTCGGTCAGTCACCTAGCACATTGAAAGTACTCAATTGTTAAGACTTACTGGGTTCCTTCTTTTATCAGTTATTTGTCCAAAAGACCGTAAGCTTACAGATCAGCATCTAAAAACTTTTTAATTCTTTAGCATAAGACTGGATTCAACATTTTGAATTCAGATGCTCAACTTGGCAGTTAGAAAGGTACTTGCTACCAACTTCTTACTGGCTTTCCAGAATCTCAGGCTCTGGAAAGTGTTAATGGAGATTTTTGAAGATATGGAAGCATAGCTTTAAAATTTTTAGTGGGGAAAATAGAGTGAATTTGATCTGTACCTGGTTTTCTTAAATTGCAATTTTTGAGAACTTATATCAAATTAATCCGTGCTGCTTGTTAAAGATGAGTATTTCTTGGTCCCACTCAGACTTGCTCATTTGGTATCTCTAAGTGTAAGGCCGAGCATCTGCTTTTTCATGTGCGTAGTTTTAATGACTTACAAATCAAGCCCATATTTCCTTTGATTGTCATGACAATATTGCAATCCAGTGATTCTCAAAGTGTAGTGGTACAGGGGCTCCTGGGGTCCCTGAGACTTTTTCAAAATGATTTTCATAATAATACTAGGATCTTATTTGCCTTTACATTCTCATTCTCACACAATATGGTGTAATTTTCCAGAAGCTACATGATGAGTGCTAACATAAGAGAATGAATTCAGGAGATAACGAGAATCTAGCTATCTTCTATTAAACCAAATATTAAAAAGACTTGCAATGATTTTTTGTTTTGGAAAATATTTTTTCATAGAAATGCTGTGTATGTTAACACGTAATGAATTTATTATCTCAAATAAATAACTGAAAGTTGTTTTGATACCTAGAATGGTAAACACTGATAGATATAAGTCGCATGCACAAACTCTTTGGTGTTCTCAGTACGTTTTAAAAAGTGTAAAGGGATCCTGAGACCAAAACCTTTGAAAACTGCTGCTATAATTATTATTAGCGCTATTTTAAATGCAAGGCACAATTAAGTGACTTACAGAGATTCCATTTTTGAACCCCAAATTCTATGCAATTTCCATTACCACAGAGAATCAGAGAAGACTACCTATTTTATGCTTTTACAAATTTGTTATCTTTTTTTTTCTTTTGAATAGGGATTTTTATTTTTTTAAAAAAGATTTATTTATTTATTTATTTATTTATTTATTTATTTATTTATTTATTTATTCATGATAGACATAGAGAGAGAGAGAGAGCGCGCGCAGCAGAGACACCGGAGGAGGGAGAAGCAGGCTCCATGCAGGGAGCCGGACATGCGAGTCGATCCTGGGACTCCACGACCGCCCTGGGCCAAAGGCAGGCGCTAAACCACTGAGCCACCCAGGGATCCCCTGAATAGGGATTTTTAACCAGCTACCAGGTGACAGTGATGCCCTTAAGTTTAAGAGAACCACCATGAAAAGCAAAGGCCCTAGCTGTTTTAGGAAGTGACAATTATTATATACGGACATTGAGATGATAATTCTGCAGGCAACAGAGGGGGTGGGGAGACTTGGGTTCTTAAAAGATCAAATCCCTTCACTTCCCTGGAACTTCACTTTTCACATCTGTACACTAAAGGGGTGTCTGGTGCCTCTTTCTGGCTCTCAGTCCCGGTTGCATGCATTCTCACCGCTCAAAGACCACTGAAGAGATCCACCTTCCTGAGGAAGGTCAATTTTAATCTTAAAAGTCACAAATCAGAGCATATGAAGCTTCTGCAGAGAACCCTTCAATCGTTCCCCCGTTGTTTCCAAATAAAAGTCAAACTCCTCGTCCTGGCTCACAGACACTACAAGATTCGGGCCACTGAAGTCTCTGGCCTCATCTTCCTTCCTCTTTTTTGGGCAAGTAACAGCGGCCTTTTTTTTTTTTTTTTTTTTTAAAAATCTTTTCCTTGACCCTGCTAAGTTTGTTACGACCATCAGGCCTTTCTTTGCATTTGCTATTTCTTCCGCCTCCAATGCTCTCAACAGCTTCCTAAGGATCCCTCTCCCTGTTCCGTATCACATGATGCTGCTTAATTTTTCCGTAAAGTGCTCAGAATCATCATTTTCCCTCCACCGCCGTTTTAGACCACAGTGTTTGCTTGCTGACTTGTTCACCGTCAACAAACTGGGCGCAGGGCCGGGGGTGGCTCGTAACCCAGTGTTGTCCCCGACGCCCAGGGTAGCGCCCGGCGGGTAGCTGATGCTCCGTACAGCGACGACGGCTGAACTCCTGCAGCTCAAGCCTCGCCTTCAAAAGGGCGGGGACATCCTCGTCTCCCCCACGCCGGACCCCGACCCACCGGTTCAAACTCCTGCCTCAGCACCCCCAGCGCCTCCCGGCACGACCCCGACGGAAGCCTCACTTACCGGACCGACCTGCAGCTCAGTTAGCGCTGGCCGGAGCCGCGGCTTGACCCGGAAGTGCTCTTGGGCAGGAGAGCAGGCGGGGCCGCCTCCGCACGGAAGACGAGTACTTCCGGGGCAGTAGGAGCGGCTCCTCGGCGGCGGCGGCGGCGGCGGCGGCGGCGGTGAGGGTGGCGGTGGCGGTGGGCTGGGTGCGGGGCTCCCGGGGAGGAGGCCGGCGGGGTGCGGGCCGGCTGGGGACTCGCGGCCAGGCCGTGCGGCGGCTGGGGAGGGGGAGGAGCGGCCCGGGCCCGGGCCCGGGCGGCCAGCACTTCGCGGCTGGACGCGGAGGCTGTAAAGCGCTTTGGGTTGTGGAAGCGCTGCGCTTGCGTGAGGAACGCTCGTCGTGGGCGTGGAAGTTGGGAGCGCGGGGCGGCGGCGGGCGGCGGGGCGCGACCGGCTTGGACCCGACCTGGCCGTGGGGAGGGTGAGCCCACGCGTGTGTCCGCCCGGAGGCCGCCGTGTATGTATTAACGACCGTCGCGGCCCCGCCAGCCTCCGCCCGCCTGTCCTCGTCCAGCGGCGGCGCGCGGGGTCTGCCCTGAGCCCCTCGCGTGCGCGTGCGCGTGGAGTCGAGGCCCCGTGGGAACCCTGCCGGGCGGGCGTCGGCCCCGGGCTAGCCGAGACGAGTCCCGCCTGCTAAACCCTAAACCCAGCGCGTTCGCTCCTCGGCCGCTGCGTGGCCCGACGTGCCCGAGGAACGTGGGGTGGGGGGGGGAGGGGGGGCCTATGTGTGCGTCCAAACGGGCGCGCGTTTGTTTCCAAGGGGTAGCACTCGGCCGCTTAATTTTGTGATATTTCCGTTCTTGGGGTTCTTATGAAAATGACATACCCTCACTACAGGAGACTTGGAAAACTCACAAAAACATTAATAGTGCGATTCCATACACCTGAACTTTCTCTCTCTCTCTCTCTCTCTCTCTCTCTTTCTTTCTTTCTTTGTTTCTCTTTCTTTTCCTTAATTCTTTCCTTTTCTTTCTTTCTTTCTCTTTCTTTCTTTCTTTCTTTCTTTCTTTCTTTCTCTTTCTTTTCCTTAATTTCTTTCTTCCTTTTCTCTTTCTTTCTTTCTTTCTTTCTTTCTTTCTTTCTTTCTTTCTTCTTTCTCTTTCTTTTCCTTAATTTCTTTCTTCCTTTTCTTTCTTTCCCTTCCTTCCTCCCTTCCTTCCTTCCTTCCTTCCTTCCTTCCTTCCTTCCTTCCTTCCTTCCTTCCTTCCTTCCTTCTTTTTCCTTTTTCTGATAGAGAGTGAATCCACTGAGAACAGGGATAGCACAGCCATTATGATAATAAAGTGATGGTCATTATAATATATATATATTTTTTTGGTCATTATAATATAAGCAGCTTTTCCACCTAGCCAGATGTCTAATGAGCACATTCTAGGGGCTCGTTAAACCTCTGTTGCGGGGATCCCAGGGTGGCTCAGCGGTTTGGTGCCTGCCTTCCGCCCAGGGCCTGATCCTGGAGTCCCGGGATCGAGTCCCACGTCGGGCTCCCGGCATGGAGCCTGCTTCTCCCTCCTCCTGTGTCTCTGCCTCCCTCCCTCCCTCTCTCTCTCTCTCTCTCTCTCTCTCTCTCTCACACACACACACACATAAATAAATAAATAAATCTTTAGAAAAAAAATAGATCTTTGTTGCACAAGTGAAGGAATAGACCTAGTGTTTAGTATTTTCGAATATGCTCTTCGGGTCTTCTGTAAGATACAAATTGTTTATGTAATGTGGATGTCACATAAACTGTACAGTAGTTGCCCCTTCACTGCAGGTGATTTATCCCAAGAGGTGTGATGATAAAATGCCTACGCAGTGAGGTGAGATGAGGTGAATGATGTAGGCGCTGTGATAGAGCATTACCTTAGGCCGCTACTGACCTTCTGACAACACCTTGGAAAGAGGATCATCTGCTTGCAGGCTGCGGTTGATCGTAGGTAGCTGAAACCCCAGAGAAGAGAGACTGCTGTATATAGCATACTATTTATAAAATATATATTATAATGTGTTGTAATTTGTAAAGAGCATATAAGGAAAGGGAATGATAATGTAAAAAAAAGTACATATTTAGCCACACAAAACAGTGATTGCACTTTGTGCAAGGCGTGTGTAGTCTTCCCTGTTAGGTTCTTGGAGCAATAGGGCAGAAATTGTGACATAAATTAATTCTCGGTCTCCAAAACTTGGTATGTAGTAGGGACTGAAAAAAATGTTTGCAAATGAATGGATATTTCAGAGTTGGTTTGTATGTGTGTGGGTAATTGCATCTGGGTTTTTTTTTCTTTGTGTTTTGGGAGTGTATAATGTATGTATATCATATATGATCTAGGCTCCATGGTGTGTACATCTAACTTTCCAGCCTTATGCTTTTTCATCATTCTCTCTGCTATATTAAATAGTTATTTGTCGATAGTCCATGTCTATCTATAGTCTGTCTATTCCATTTATACTTCCTATGTGTTGTTTTCCCACCTTTGAATTTTCTCATTGGCACTTTTATCTGTCAAAATCCCAAGTGCCCTTTTAGGCACGTGTTGCAAGTTCAGATGTATACAGGGGCTTGGTAACAAACAAGTCAAATGGATTTAGGTGGAGATTGTAGGGAACTGGAGAACATTTTTCTGTCTAAAAAGGTCCAGCAACTCTTTGGCATGAGCTAATTATTACCAAGTTAATAGTGGTGCCATGTTACCAGATGTTTCAACTTTACAAGAGAAGTAGAAAATCTGTATTCGTATATGAAGTTTGATTTTTATTTTTTTAAAGATTTTATTTATTCATGGGGTGTGTGTGTGGGGGAGGGCAGAGACACAAGCAGAGGGAGAAGCAGGCTCCATGCAGAGAACCTGATGTGGGGATCATGCCCTGGGCTGAAGGTGGCGCTAAACCGATGAGCCACCCGGCCGAAGTCTGATTTTTAAATGTTAGCAGTTAATATAAAAGTTTAAACAGTATGCAGGCCAAATAGAAACATTTAAAGGCTGGAGTTAGCAGTCACATTCTCAGTTTGTGGTCACTATTCTATGCTTATTTCAGATACTTTGTGTGTGAATCATATTCTCTGATTCCAGCAGACTTTTTTCTTTTAACATTTTATATATACCTTACTTAAAGTGCTGTTTCCAAGCTGTCCTAGATCTCTCTCTCTCTCTCTTATTTTTTTTTTTTTGGTGAAAGAGACAGACAGACAGACATGCAGGCGGAGGTGGGAGCAGGAGAGAGGAATCCTAAGCAACTCCATGCCCACCATGGAGTTTGTCGTGGGGCTCACTCTCACAACCCTGGGATCATGACCTGAGCCAAAATCAAGAGTTGGACACTTAACTGACTGAGCCACCCTGGTGCCCCTGCCAAGCTGTCTTAGTTCTTAATGTCTGTCTCTTCTACTACATTGGAAACATATTGATGGTTTGGATTGGGTCTAATTCTGCACTTGGTAAATATTGGTATAAAATAAATGCTTATATATACACCTAAGGCTTTGGTATAAGTGTGTATGTGTGAGATACATTTATTTCTCTTTTGGTAATACTAGGTTGTCTTGGAAACCATCTGCTTCTTGTAAAAAAACACCAGTAGTATCTTGGCTTTAATTGCCAAAGAGCCGTACTTATGAAAGGGATTAAATTGGTTAACATTGCTATTCAAAAGCTGGTAGATTTAGATTCTATCTCATGGCTTAAATTTTATAATTTAATTTACAAATTGAGGTAGAAATAATGACTAAGATTTTTTTTAATGACAATCAACAAATGGAAAAACTGATAAATTTTACCTCATTGAAATGAAAAACTTTTGCTCTGTGAAAGGCCCTGTGAAGATGAAAAGATAAACTACAGGCTGGGATAAAATATTTCCAAACCACATATCTGACTAAGGACTTGAATCCAGAATATATAAAGAGCTCTCAAAACAGAAAAAAAACAAAACAAAACAAAAAAAACAAAAAAAAAACCCCAACAAAATAAATCCAACTAGAATATGAGTAAAAGATACAAATAGGTATTTCACTGAAGTAGATATACAGATGGCAAATAAGCACATGAAAAAAGATGTTCTGTATCATTAGCCATTAGAGAAATACAGCTTAAAGCCACAGTGAAATTATTACACACCTAATCAGAATGGCTCAAAAAAGGAAAAAAAAAAATCATCACCAGATGCTGCTGAGAATGCTGAGAAACTTGATCACTCATACATCACTTGTGGTAATATAAAATGGTACAGCTACTCTGGGAAAGAGTGGCAGTTTTTATAAAACTGAACAAGTACTTAACATGATCTAGAAGTTATACTCTTGGTCATTTATTTCAGATAAATAAAAGCTATGTTCCCACAAAAACCCGTATGTTAATATTTTTAGCTGTTTTGTTTGAAATAGCCCCAAACCAGGAACAGCCCAGATATCCTTCAATGGGTAAATGGTAAAACTAAAATACATCCATACCAAGGAATACTACTCAGCAAAAAAAAAAAAAGAAACTATTGATAAAACAATTTGGATGGTTCTTGAAGGACTTAGGCTGAGTGAAAATAGTTAATCTCAAAAGGTCACATACTGTATGAATCCATTTATATAGTGTCTTGTATTGAGATGGAGAACAGATTAGGGGTTGCTCTGGGTGGGTGGGGGTGGGGTCTGGGGGGATGTGACTGAAAAAAGACAACACAAGGGATCCTTGGGATTGAACTGTTCTGTAGCCTGAGTGTGTAGATGGTCACACACATCTATATGTCTGATAAAATGTCTTAGAACTAAATACATGTACATGAGTGCCTGTAAAACTGATGAAATCTGAAGATGGTTGTATTAATTTTCTGGTTGTCATATTAGACTGTGGTCACGCAAGTTGTTGCCATTGGAAGAAACCGGATGGAGGATATACAGATCTGTCTGTATTTCTTAAACCTGCATGTAACTCTATGATAATCTCAAAATGAAAAGCTTAAACAAATCAAAAAAGCCTATAAGGTTAATTTTTTTCTTTGACTTTTATTTTACCAGGCAATGATCTAATCATGTCAGATAAAGATGATAC